TCTATCCTAATAATATATGTATATAAAAAAAAACATAAAAAAAAGACAGCTAAATAAAACAGAGTAGCCCGAAATATAAAAGTCTCGAAGTATTGTCCAATGGTTTTTCCAGTCGAGGCACATATACCATTTGTGTTGTCATACAGTCCATACATGGTTGCTTAATCCGGACGTCTGCCTGATATCCCGTTATGGAAGTCCCATCCATTTCTAGACAGGTAAACAATACCAACTTGTTTTGGAAAATTACGTGTTGATCTTTTGGAGCAATGAAACTTTTCTGTGGTTGTTCTTTGTAAGTTTTATGGTTGTATAGATATACTTTAAGCTTGTAATACTTCTGTGTCGTCCTAGACGTTTTGTGTTTCCAAAATATCCTTTTGGTTTGGATGCTGAATATAATAGAAGAGTCCGCCAGAAGAAGAGCTTGACCTCTACAAAAACCAGTCCAAAGTAGACCGCGCCTCAGTTTTACACTCTTGGTACTTCATTGACAACACACCTACTTTCATAGAACCAAGTTTATTATTTACTTAAGCGTCTTCTATAGCGCTGATCGTAGTTTAGTTTCTTGTTTTTTGTTGACCAGATGATCGTCAGAAAGAGTTAAATATATAGTGTTTAACTTACTATATTGATTTTATAAGTAATATTCAATAACCTATTATTTCTGATAACTGATAACTAATTTATTTAAGTTTCTAATATAGTTTACTTTTTAATCATATAAAATTAGTTAATTAATCAATAATGAGTATATATAATACAGATTTCTGAGTTACAAATTAAATTTTAATATATTTTGTCACAAATTGCTTATTTTACAAAACTTAAATAATTTTTTTTATTATTCTAACTAAAAGTTTTTTTAAGCAAGTATACTATATATTCTGCTAGCATTTAACCCAAATATAAATATTAACTCTAATATTGCAAATCTGTGCTACAAATCTAGTATATATCAATTTTGCAATTAACTAGCTAATTTTTATTATATAATATTTTCAAATCTGATATCCTTCTAAAATCTGTTCACTATATATATCAGTTTTGTAAGAGCTAACAATATAATATTAGGTGTTAAACAAATTTACTTAGTATATAAAGTTAAAATTAATTAGTAAATTTTTGAGATTCATAAGATTTTATAGAATTTTATTAATAAAATTTTACAAAATCTTATGATTTTTAAAATTTTACTATTAAGTCTAACTTAACATACTAGGTAAATGCAAAGCATTGTTTGTCTGGAACTTAAATATAGGTTTAAACTTTTTTTGTACTAAGTTAATCATCTTTAAGTCTTTAATTAAAGTTGTAGAGCTCTTTAAGTAAATCTAATGATGCTATCCAAACTAAATATGCATATCTTTCTAAAAAAAAAATAAAATCATTAATGTATACTAATTCATAATTGGAACACAGCATTAAATTTCAAAAAATTGATTTTTTTATTATTTTTTTAAAAAAACAATTTTTTTAAAAATAAATATTTTTTTAAAGTTTTTCTTTTAAAAAAATTTTTTTAAGTTTTTTTTTTTACTTTCAAAAAATATTTTTTAAAAAAATTTTAACTATGCATTCTTTGTATTATGTTTTACATACTTGCAAATTATGAATTATAAAATATTTGTATGCTTGCAAATTATGAATTATAAAAATATTTGTATGCTTGCAAATTATGAATTATAAAAATATTTGTATGCTTGCAAATTATGAATTATAAAAATATGGGTATATACATATATTTTCACTAAAATAATTGAAAATATTTTTTTGTAATGATAATAGTAATCGAATTGGAGCTGTGGCTCTTGTTAGCTTGGCTAAAAAGCAGCTCGGCTAAAAAGCAGCTCGGCTAAAAAGCAGCTCGGCTAAAAAGCAGCTCGGCTAAAAAGCAGCTCAGCTCACATGATATCGGGCCGTAGCTAAGCCGGAGCTAGCCGTTTGCATCACTGGATATGACATAAAATAAATAAGTTAACTCTTTCTAAAATGAACTAACGCAAAAACATTGGTTTTAACCCATTTAATCTATTTTTATTGACCCGCCTAAAAAAAATTCTTCATCATTTTTGATCTGATATATGAAATTATGAAATTAATATGGGTGATTGCGATCATCATAATTAATTAATCTGTAATAAATTAAAACTTGTATAAGTTAAATACGAATATAAAATGAAAATGGTGTATAGGTGCAGACATAGACACACAAAATCTGGTCTATGACTCCACCATTAAGTCCTCCGCTACGCTCCGGACAATGATTTAATCAGGAGATCGAAGCGTCATATCTGTCAGAATTAACACTTATGTTGCTAATGACAAACAAGACACATGTTTCCAGTGTCAGAAGTGACAGAAAAGACGTTAGTGACACTAGCGACAGAAGAGGCAGATTCGTGACCAGTTTAATCACGTAAACTTATATGTAGTTGCAATTAATTGCAATAATTTCGTCATTAATTGGTTTCAATTATTTTTTAATTGATTGAAATTGCATATAACATATAATAAAATTTAATTGCAATTAATTTTCGGTACCCCTACCTATATTCATAATTTTTATTGTAGCCTCTTACAGTATTTGTAATCTTTTTTTTTTTTTTAGAAGATTGATTTTGATCTCAATTCAAAAGCTCATGTTTAACGACACACAGATGATATTTTTGACGTTAATACAAATACAATTTTTAATATTTATTACGCATTACATTATCAACAATAGTATGAAAGTAAATATATAGTAATACGATTCCCTAATTACATAATAATCCTTTGAAAAATATTACCACATTATCACACATTGGAATCGCCGCCGTATTGATTAACCTCTTTTTCATGATTTGATTTTATTTCATCACGCTCTTGTTTTGGTTCACCTATTTTTGCTTGATCTTTTTCTGAAATTTCAGTACCTTTTGTTTTTTCTATTGCATCAGTCCACCAATATTCCATGATCCCTTCTTTCACTTTATTCGTTCCTTGATCTCCATGTTCACTCACTTCATATCCACGGTCCTTCGCATCTTCATGTACCAGTCCATGTTTCAAAATAAAATCTAGTTCCATTTCAATAAGCTTGCAGAAACTATCAATTGGTAGATCATTCGGATCTTTACCAAATGGATTTTCGATCTCATCAGCGATCTCTTCGACTCCTAGTAAGATGAGTGAAGCCAAAAATACTATAGGCACCGTGACCCAATCAAGGTCATTAACTAATTGGAATGGAAGTGACAAACAAAATATCCAAGTGGTATGAATAAGATGAATGGCATAGGCATAAGGAATTGGAGATCTAAGAACTCTCTCTAGGTTTGTTAAGCATTCTATGAGAGTGTTTACATTATTGTACATTTGAGTGGTCGACGTAGCATCTTTAAATTCTTCAAACATTTTACTGATGTAGTAATTCAAGTACAAGGCAATATCAAGTGGCAAATTATATTGGATTATCTGATCGGGTGTGATTAAATTTCTTCCCTTTAATGCCTTTCGTTTTTTCACACTAAAATTTAGGAATTTATTCTCCTTATTATCATTTTTTGCTAATGGTGTTCTTTCAAGTATTCTCTCTACATCTAAATAGTTCGTATAAGTTTTTGGATCTGCGTCACAATATTTCTCTCGAAGGTAATCTCTAGTGGCATATGCGAATCCTTTCAAGAGATCAAAGACAATTTTCTTTTGATCGTCTATTTTCCCTCTTTCTGGAACACTCACAAGAAAGTATCGAGAAAGATTCCTGATCGCTGTTGTCATAGTTGACCATAGACGTCTTCCTTCCCAATACCTTTAAATATAACGACGATAACTTAGTATCTAACCTTTTATCTATGTAATAATTGTCGAGGATGAAATACGCATTTAATTGGGTTGGGTTGATCCAATTTTTATTAAATCCAAATTTATTCCAATTTGGGTTGGTTCAACCCGGAGTAACTTCAGATTAAACTACTCCATAAACAACCCAATGATCAACCAATAGGATTTTTAAATTATTTCAGCATCATCCTCAACAATGTAATAATACGAAAGGGTGAAACCTGCGCAAAAATAGTTACCACCTCAGCACGGATTTCACCCTTTCATATAATAATAATAATTATGGAATAATGAATACCTATCATAGGCTGTATTTGTTCTATAAGCAAGCAAAAGAGACACAACAAAAGCCGTGATGGTAATGAAATTCTGTTTAATTCCAAGCTTGATTTCTGTATATTTCGTAAGTCCGACAATCAACGCAGAAAAAGCTGCAATGAGAAGTGCTCGAGGAATAACTTTAATAAGTATCGACCTTTTAAGCCCGTCCAAGTATGTTAAGCCATTACTACCATACGGGGTGTAAATTTTTGGTTCAATTTGATTCTTTTTTGATTTAGTTTTCCCCATTTTATTAATACAACTTTATAGATGAATACTTTTTTTACTTAGTTGAATTTAAATTGTCTAAGGAAAATTATCGAACCAAAGCGAAAAAAGAATTTCTATTAGCCATTATATAGACTCAGAATTTAAAATTTGTGCTTGTGAAAGTATTTATTTATAGTACTCAAATATTGTAAAATTTTGAATTTTACACTCTATATGTCGTAATTTATCACGCTAATATTAATATCGATATCGTCTGGTATCAAAACATTTCAATTTTAGTAATACTTTAGTAGTTGGCAAAAAATGTGTTACGTACGTGCAGTAACTTCTAACTGCATAACGATAATCTGATACGTAATTTATTGTCAAATCCTATTATCTTGTATGTGAGAAAAAAATTCTTGTTATATGCACTGTAGTGGTTTTATTACGTGGTACAAATTTCATCAATGATTATACGTATTGATTATATTGATACGTATTGTTATTTCGAATTACGTCGAATAACAAAATAACGCAAATAACGATAAGGGGTACGTTTCACATCACCTTATTTTCACTTTACAGAAAATCACCTTATTTCAATTCATAGATAGGTTCATTTTAAAGACAATCAATTTACAGACAGTTCATTTCTTAGACAATTCTTATTTTGTAGACAATTATAATAGTAAATAACTTCTAACCCACTGTTAATATGGTCTACGAAACGAACTACAAAATAAACTGTCTAGAAATTAATTATCTTTAAAATAAACTTTATATGAATTTTGTTTATGAAATAAGATGTCTCTGAAGCAATTGTCTGCAAAGTGATACGTACCCCAAAATAAGATCCTTGTTTTTTTTCTATTAATTGTACCTGTAGCACAGCTGAAATGATTCTGATTGCGCGATAAAATTTCAATGACTCTTATTGGAGAGCTTTGTATAAATATAATTTTTAAAATCCTGCGTAATACGGATTCAAAAAGTTTTCCTCCTTGGTTATACGGCAATTCTTGTGGTATTTTAACCCTATCGCTATTGATAGATGGAGCGAGGTGAAATTTGCGTTTAAACATCATCACAAGATCATCTATATACAGTATCTACATAATGGTGATCATCCCTAGTTCAACTACGTATCAGGTGTAACATAACATCAAAATATAACCTAACGTCAGTGGCTAATTTTTTTTTATACCGACGATTCTAGGGTTAGGGTTGTAAAATTACTACGTATAATTTGTTATAAGCTTTCCGAAACCAAAATTCAGGATTATTAAATAACGGCAAAAATTTTAGCATTTGAAGTATGTAAAATTATAACTCCGAATGCAATACGAGTTACGCAATAGATTTTATAATAATTCTGGTAATTTTTGTAATTTTCAAGAGTCATTATATTTTCAAGTTTATATGTGATGAGAAATCTTCGGAATATTTCGGAATTTCTGCATCAGAAGTTTTCGGAATTTTCACCTCCACCAATCACATCTCACCTACGTGCACTTTATGACAAATTGTGGACAATTTTGAACAAAAAAACAAATCTAAATTATTCAAAATTTTATTAAGATAACCTATTTTAATCTTTTAAGTAAAAATATTCAGACTATAAAAAATATATAATCATCTCTTTTTTAAACCATTTATTAAATTTTAAAGCCTAAATATTGACATTTGGACGTGGATTATACTTGTGACCCGAAACTCGAAACCTTTCCGAAACCTTCAAATTAGAATGTTAATAACTAATGGACATTTACTATAAAGTAACCAAAACATTCTTGAAATGCAATATAATTATCATATACTTCAAGTCTTAAAGTTTAAAATTAAATTTCTAAGCCTTTCAGCATAGCGATTTATGAAAAGGTTTCGGGATTTTATATTGTTTTGGATTTCGGGCACAACCTTAGTCTATATCATAATCATGATCCAAATTTAAAAGACATCACTCATTCTAAATAAAGCATCCTGGACTTGGTTTTAGCGCGACAACGTCGTGCAGCTACAAATTTTTTTTATTGATTTGTCATTTCAATATACAGATATTGATAACTAGTAAATGTGCATTTGAAGTATGCCTTATTTTAAAATTAATAAGGTTGGTTATGAGCTTTGAGAAATTTAAAATAACTATAAAAATTATTTGTTACTCCAATTTTTGTAAGCATATTGTTCAAAAGTAGTAATGTTTGGATGTAACTCTTTAGCGATCGAAATGTCACTAAGTTCATTGCCAAAAACTCCGTATTTATTATACCAACGAGACTATTGAAAATAATAAATTGATAAATACATTATTATTTTTTAAAAAAAATATATACATATAGTTTGAATGACATACCATATCTAACATTTCTTCACCAGCCAACATGGGGAATTCTTTTTCTGTTTCTTCGCGATTGGTACTGCGAAGTTTAAATTGTCTTCCAGTAACTGATAGTTTCGTAAAAAAAAAGAAAGAAGTTTTAGCATTTGAGAATTAAATAGATAAAATTATTAGAAACTTACCTTTAGTCAATATTTCGACAACTTTTCCAAAAGAAATGCGTTCCGAAGCAATAGGAACTTTCTTTCCATTCCACTTTTCTGGCCCTTCTTCAATAACTTTGGCTATAATGGGCTGAGAACATTTATATAAATTAATGTTTCTGTAAAGCGTATTAATGTAAATGGTAAAATGATCACTTACGCCGGTGTCGGTTCCAACGTCAGCAATCTCAATAGTGGTGTTTTCATTGACCAATGGAATAATAAGTTCAGATGTTCCATCAGCTTTTGTCACAACAGGAAAAAATGGTCCAAAATTCGAGGCATAGAAACCAACGTAGACGATTGTGACGTTCGGAATACCCAAAGTGCTAATATATTTTTCAACCCGATTTTTACCTATACATATATATATATATAATTATTAATATTGTATAGAGACTATATGGTAATCATTTGCCATTTCTTACCGTAAAAATGTACGACTTTGTAATCGGGAGTATCAGGAAGAGAACTTAATATAGATAATTAAGATCAGTCTCGTGGAGTAGACAATATTTATTTAATAATCTAACTTACCTATAAAAAAGCCATTTCAATCCAACTTCTTTAGCGACGTTGCCAATCATTTTACCTTGTCTTTCTTCTTCAGCCGTGTTATTTGGGAAAATGGACTAATATAATAATCATGATGGTCATCAAAATAGTAATTATAAATTAATGAAATGAGATTTATTAATTACCGGATCCCAGAAATTGGTGACAATAAATGCGATATCAGCGCCATTAAGCGCATTTTTAACATCTTCTCTATTGGAAAGGTCAGCTTTGAAAACTTCGGCACCCTTTGCAACAAGAGCTTTTGCTTTATCAGATTGAGGGTTACGTGTAATAGCACGGATTCTATATTTTCCTGTTGCAAGGAGGGCATTGACTACAGATCCTCCTGTGTATAACAAACGAATATTAATTCGTGAGTTTATTATTAAAATGTTTTCAGGGTTTAAACGAACACAAGTAAAATAATACCTTGAACACCTAAATTATGTAAAAGAAATCAATCTAGCATTAATAAATGCTATTAAATATGATGAATTATTATTTTATCAAAATGTATAACGTACCAGTAGCTCCACTAACGACTACCAAAGGGTTTTGAGATGACATTTTGGAATTTTAATTTTTATTTTTGTTTTATGGTTTAATATTTTGCACGAAGAAGAGACTTTAACAGCTAATTTATTCGAACAGTAAACTGAAAAAAATTTATTTCAGCTCCAGAAGAAACTTTTCACTCTTTTATATCATGAAATTTGGCAAAATTTTTTTCATTATACAAATGATTATACCAAATTTGAACTTTATGCGTCAAGAATATTACTAAAATTGATTTATAATCATATGTATTAAGACTATCTTCTTAATATATAAATTATGAATTTGGAATAAGATTTTTACGTCTAATAATATATTTAAAACTATAATTAATCATCAAAAGGCGTCACATTACACGAAACATTGCATTTATTTGAACTATTATGGCGGTAATTTAGGCTGAAGGTGATTTTTTATTCAAATTCTAATAAAATACATGATCAAAAGCGAGTAACACAGGCAAGACAATAATCTTTTTCACAAGCATTCGCAACTTTTCCAAATATTTTCTTTATAATCGAAATGCTTTCCGTATCTCTTTCACATGTAATATAAAAGGTTGGGAAGATGTGGGTTGCTTCTCATGTGAAAATGTTGCACGTGACATTCTAACGCTTCGTATTAACGCAAATTTAAATCCCTGACGTGTTCTAACTATATATAGATACAAATTACTCTCTTTGTAGTGAACTCTCGATATAGTGAAGAATTTGTTTAGAACAAAATTATTATTAATAAACTTTCGTTTGATATAATGAAGTTAATTAGTAAACTCTCGATATAAGATATATGAGGATTTTTCTAAAACGGATGTAACAAAATGTCTCGCGTTATAGCGAATATTTGATTATGTGACATGTATAGACCAATAAAATTAATGGAATAGTTGTCATACGCAACTATATTCCTTTGTGGAGTATAAATTTATTTCTCTCGATATAGTGAAGATTTATACAATTATCAACTTTGCTATATCGGGAGACTCTCAATCTAGTGAATCTCTCGATATAGTAAAAAAATTGTCACAGCCCAAGAAATTCATTATAACAAGAGCGACATGTACTATCTCTCGATATAGTAAAAAAATTGTCACAGCCCAAGAAATTCATTATAACAAGAGCGACATGTACTAATTAAAGTCCATATGATGGTATTAATTAAATCAACAGACTGCATCATTTGACTTTATTGATTTATAATATTACTACTCGATATTTATGTATTTATTAATAATCAAAAAATCAGTCGATCGAAGTCGATCGACTCCTAATTCAGCCTATTAATATGTAGCAGTTCGCAATTTTCCGGAAAAATGAAATCATTACGCATTTACTGTTGATCTTATCATTGTTTGGTTGAATTGATAATCAAAACGCATGTTGCGATAAGGTTTGATGTCTATTTAAAAACGATTAAAGTTTTTTTTTTTATTTCAATTCGAAGAATTTATATAATTAAAATAAAAAAAGTTTCATGAAGCATTTTTGCCTAAAGTTTATAACAAAAAAAAAACTTGCCAAATTTTGGAAAATCAAATATCCGCGAAGGAAAATAAAAATTTTCATAGATACAGAATAATTCTCCTTGTTCAGGTGATTACCCATGTTTTCGATAACTACAACATAATTTTGTATGGGAGAAATGTTGTTTGTGGGGGCATGTCGAAAGGCTTCTTGGGCAATTGTTATACCATGTGCCATATTTTCAGCATGGATTACTATAGAAATTGCCCTTATTTTACATAAAGAACAAGGAATTAGACAAAAAACTATTTAAGCATTTGACTTCAGGTTTTCTTATTATTAAGTCTAGTTACTAAATAAGAAAAGATGATCTATTGACAAATCGGAAATAATCGAAAATTCGTATTCTCCAATGAGGAGTTTCAGAATTAACGTAATTTTGACAGAAAATAGATAACGTATTTATTTTCAAATGAGCGATGTATTGATTTCCGATAAATTTGTAATAATGAGTTTTGTCGTTGAAAAGTTTATTTATTTCTTTAAATTGGAGTCTCTAAACTAGAGATGGGCAAAAATTTTATATATTCTTACATATTTTTACATATTTTAACATATTCTTACAAATTATGGTA